CCATTTGTCAAATTATGATTAAAATGCTTCAACAGCAACACCTGCAAGTCAGAAAACACGACAAAGTGGTGAAGGAGAGGAGACAAGGATTGCTGTGCTGCTGGACCTACAGAAAGGCCACCACAGTGATATGTGGCAACCTGACATTCTGCTGCACTCATTCAAAAGGGACTGGATTCAGGTGTGGTTAACAGATTGCTGTCTAAAATTTAGATTGTTGTGATTTGTTTTGTTGTCTTTCTTTTCTTTTTTATATACCTCTTTTAGGACAGGACCCCTGGAGTCTAGACACTGGTGGTTGTGAAGAAAGGGAGAGTGGCAGAAAACACGGACTTAAACCATGCAAAGCAGAAGCTGATTGGCTCAAAACTTGTGGGTAAGAAGATGATTGGACTAGACCAATGATGTCAAGTATCGAGAATGACAGCGTGGGAAAGTGGTAGACATGTAAACTGAAAAGCAGCCTAAGACCCAGAAAAGTAGGTATGATTACAGATCTTCCTTATTGAACTTATGTCTAAGCTTCATTTCAGATGGTTGTGTTGTACCATTGCCGTTTGTCAGTGAACATGCATAGTCCCATTTTCAAATCACTTCTGATGCTTATAATTCAGTATTGTGCTTTTTCTCCCTCGGATAACAAAGGCATAACCTGGCCTCCCCTGAGGAGAAACAATCCTTTCTGTCTTCTGTGTCTCTGGTTCGCATAGAAGTATTTATGTACTGCTAATGTTCTACAAATCAGTTTACTGAAGCACACCAACAGGTTACATAAATGGAAGAAACGATATTAACTGATATTATATTTGACTCATGATTAGCATCTACTAATAGCCAGTCCTATACCTGAGTGTCGTAGGGCACAGCTTCAATTAGAGTCATCGGTGATTAAAAATGTAGATGTCAGCGACTGAATGTTTGACCATGTACCTTGCCATTATTCAGTATATTCTTTGACAGTGTTCTAATGAGATGACCTCCACAATAATATGGCAAAGACCAGGCATAAGCTACCATGTTTGCAGAGTCTCAGAAGTTAAATTGGTTTTGGAATAATGCTATGTTAAACAGATTATGATTTTAATTTTAGATTTTATTTCTTTATAAGCTATGGTTTTTAAAAATGTATTGTCACTGCAACCCTCCCCCCCCCCGGCTTCTGCTCCGTGACCCCTCATCTGGGACTCTCCTCAGCTCTTTCTGGGATAGTGGTGCGGCTGCCCTGGTCTCTTGTGCTCTGAGGGCCTCTGGATGTCTGGAATTTTGATCTCCTCCATGCCTGCTTCATGCCCTGGAGGACGGGGCTGTGGCTCCCTGTAGCAGATCATTACATGAAGGAACCTTTTAAATACAAGCGCACTCATGCTCATAGGTGTACACACGGGTGCTCACACACACAAATGACACCATTTTTGGCTCCTACCTCAAAGCACACTGTGCGCTGTCGATCTTACGTGCTGCACAATAATGTTTAATATTTAGTATTTACTGTCATATTCCCATAGATCATCATGATGTTGTTTATTATATTGCTCTCTTTTCTTCTGCTTGTTTTCTCTTTTTTCTTTCTCAACAGGTGATCCAGGTGATTGATATATGTATTTTTTGTCTGCTTATTTTGTTGGTTTTTGTTTTTTGCCCTTTATACCCGTCCCTCTTCCCCGCTGTTTTTCTTTCTCCCGTTTCTTTTCCCCATTCAAGTCTGTCCCACATTTAGCAAGTGAAAATAAAATAAAATAAACAATAAAAGGTAAATCAAATAGACCATTACGGCAAGACTGGGATGGTCCATTTGGTGAAGTAAATCCGTAAAAGAAAAAAAAAAAAGTATTGTCATCTTTTACCAACATCTGCAGTGAATATTTGCCCCACACGTGCCTCAGTTTTGCTAAGGTTGGTAAGGTAAAGTGCCAAAACATGAGTAGACAGTCATGTTTTGGCGCTTTACCTTACCAACCCTGAAAACATTCATGCATTAGGACCGGTAATATTTGTGCTCCTCTACAGCCAAACAGTAGAATTTAAGCAACAATGTACAAATAATAGAGCCCCAGGCAGTGCGAAAGAAAATATGTAAGAGTAGTCTGTCTGTCATTCTTGATCTTGTACTCAATGAGCCAGCTTGGGAAAACATTTGTGGTCTAAACTGGTAAGTGTCATGAACTGGCTGTGTGGAGGCAGATGAGAACACAAGCGCAAAACTCACGGAGACAGGAGCTGAACTCATAATCACTGCTTTATTGCAGGCCTTACAAAGAAACAGAACTAAACTGGCAAAACTAAACTAAGAACCGAGGGAACACAAAAAGGCACACAGGTTCAGGGAGGAGACATTGACGACGCAAGACTGAACTGAGGGAGACGCAGTGTTGGGTAAGTTACTTTAAAATAGTAACTTAGTTACATTACTAGTTACTTCTCTCAAAAGTAACTCAGTTACTTCAAGTTACTCGCTACTTTCAAAGTAACTAGTTACTAGGGAAAGTAACTTTGGTTTTACTCAGAATTCTCTTGTTAATGTGTTTCTTCCATAACTTTGCCAGTCTTCTAGCTTGCTTACTTGCCACAAGTGCGCTGTGCCACCTACCAATAGAAAGGAAAAGATAATGTGCATATTTCCACGAGAGAAATCCCACTAGAGACCGGCCCACCATTATAGGAAAAATCATAAAGCCTTTGAATGAAAATAAACACTGTTGTGACAGTGATGTACACTGTTTTGATGGTATATATGTATCAATCTATCAATCGTTTGTTGTAAGATTCAGATAATTATTTTTTAAAAGCGAGACATTTTAAATGAGAATAAGAAAGAAAAGTATTTCTTTGTGCCCCCCTCTCCCTGTTAATGCCCTACATGCCCCCCTGGCAACACTTTGCTAGACCCGCCCCTGCACAGTTACCAGCTGTCAGCTACATAAAAAAGGATCCAGGTGTTATTTGTCTCTCAGAAACAGTTCATAGCTTCCCTTCAACTCATTCATGTCACCTAAAAGGTAAACCTGTTTCTCCATCACCTGTTCAGCTCTGGTGATTCAGTAAGGACATCTCCTGGTTTCATCTTCATGTTTCCCTCTCACCAGATAACCAAACCATATCATGACCAGCAGCTTTTTTGCAGCTGTGGCTCCAGCAAACATCAGCTGATACTAGAAATTAATATTAAATAAATTCTAACAATAGCTGATCAAGCTTAAACGTGCTGCTGTTGTTTAGCGCGACATCGGCTGGTTTCCTCTTTCGGCGCAAAGTGAGCGATAAACAAACAAGAGAAAAAAGCCGATCAGCTGATCATTGATCAGTTTTCATGATTGAAGTAGAAACGGGAGAGGGAGGGGAGAGGATGAGAGAAGAAGAGGCAGCTGTGCAGCAAAGACACGGAATAACTCCAGCTTTGTGTCTTTTTCATTGTAGCTGAATTACGGGACAAACTGTTCCTTTTCACCTCAATAATAAACGCGTAATATTTTCTCTGAATACCAGACGGGACTCTAATAACTTATGAAAAAAATAAAGTTCAACATCATTAACTTCATAGCACCACCCAGCTGTATAGAAACTCCGTCACGCTAGCTAGCACGCAGTACGGAAAAAGTCAGAATAACGAAAATAAACTCCACCTAAACTTGGTTCATATCTGACCCAGAGAGACTGCAGGTCATAACTTCTTACCTGAAGTTCAGTTCACACTTGGACCAGCGGCCGCCTCGGGTCTTTCCTTCTGCGTCCCTTTTCCTTCATCCACCTGCTGGCGTCCACCACTTGCTAATGTTACTGAATCTGTGGAAGCTCCTTGATAGCCACCACACGAAGTAACGAGCCTATCTAAATCCCAGTAACGACTAACGCGTTCCTGATTTTGGCATAACTAGTTACCACAATAATAACGTAATTACTGTAACGCGTTACTTAATAACGCGTTAGTCCCAACACTGGGGAGACGTGGACATAAATACACAGAAGGAAGTGGGAGCACACGGGGAACACAGCTGACAGCAAACAGAACAAGACTCATATTGACGGGAGACTGTCAAAGTAAAACAGGAAGTACACAGAGGTGCAGACAGGAGGAGAGCGAAAGCACGGGGAGAGCACAGACATAACGGGCTGGGGAAAACATGGAATAAAACACAAGTAGGGGAGACGAGGGCTCACCGATACACAGAGGGGCACACGGGGTAAAGTGACATGGGGAAATCAAATGAGGAACATTTTAACAGAACCCCCTAGGAACGAAGGCATAAATAAAGAACAAAATACAAAACACGAAAACTACGAATGCTGGGCCAACATGGCCCAAGTGTACACATCTTCAGTCAGTATTGAATATCAGCATTTCCATGTTCATTTGTGGACATGAACTTTGCCTGAACTTCAAGCTGTAATATAAAAACACTTCAAGTATGTCTTTTATCCTGTCTTCCTTCTCTCACCCCAACCAGTCGCAGCAGATGGCCGCCCCTCCCTGAGCCTGGTTCAGCTGGAGGTTTCTTCCTGTTAAAAGGGAGTTTTTCCTTCCCACTGTTGCCAAAGTGCTTGCTCATAGGGGGTCATATGATTGTTGGGTTTTTCTCTATGAAGCACCTTGAGGCGACTTTGGTTGTGATTTGGCGCTATATAAATAAAATTGAATTGAATTCATGTACCATTTTATTAAATCTATTATAGTAGTCAAAAGGCACAGGAAGTCTCAAGATGAAACTCATCTACAAACAACATGTGACAGAAGCTATCTGACATGTGAAGATCAGCTGAAACAAGCAAGCTGCATTATAAATACCGAAAGAAAGAAAATAGAGCTTTTGTAGATTTTCTTAAACTCCTCTTTGTATCCTGTCCCAAGGCACACTGACATGAGAGAGGTTCATCTGGCGAGAAGGAGTGGCTTCTTGTCTCCCTTTAGGTTTCAGTTGACAGGGCTTTCAACAGACTGCTGGGATTACATAGTGACAGTAGAAGGAGACAGCAGTAATTCAAGTGGAATCAAGAATATCCTGTAAACGTGTGCGCTCACTGTCAACAATCAGTCTGCCAATACAGATTTGTTGTGTGTGTTCAATGATGGACATTAAAATGAGAAAACCAACTCTGAATTGTTGCTATCTGAATTAGCTGTGTTGTCCAGCTTTGTATCCCTACCCCCATCCTACCTCTAAAACACAGAAACGCAGATACATATACACATTTCCCTTTCTCCTCCTCACACTTCTCTCTTCTCTAATTTACAGGGACTGTGAGCAGCATACAAATACAGCTCCTGACAAAGCATCTTGTTTTCTTGTTTCCGCTTCTTTTGCCCTGTCAGGTTCTTCTCGTGCTGTTTCCTCTTTTCATTCCTCTGCTTTAATCTGCATTGTCGCAGTGATGACTTGTGCCGTGTTGCATCAATCTTTGCTGCTCTCCCTCTCTTTCCTGCTCCTCTCTGTCTCCTCTCCTCAAACTGCTAGTGCCACCCTGTGGTGAGGAAAAGATGAAAGAGTTCAGGATCAAATCAAAGGTGTTTTGGGATTGACTTTTACATTAATACAGAGAAAAATTAAAAGCAAATTGTCAAGTCACACAGTTTAGATACATTTTTTTCTGGTTTGTCAAAAAACACTTGTCTATGTTCTCTGTCTAAAAAAAGAGAAAGAAATCTTAAGCAGTCTAGCCCTTTAAATCATTCCACTGATGGCCGGCTTGGTCATGTTGGTGCTTTCAGGAAATGTCTGCTCAAGTGATCAGACACTGAATTCACATTATATGAGAGACGCTAAAGATGGGAATTAGCATGTAATTCTAGCTAGTGAAATGTTACTTCAGCATGTGACATAACAGGTTTCACTGAATTAGCAAAAAAGAAAAAAAAACTGTGCTGAATCTGTTGTCTGCAGTTTGCTGTAAGACAGATTCCTTTCTTTGACTTTAATAAATACCTACAGCGTCCTATGCACCTTTGAACAAAATAAAGAGAATAAAGAGTAGGTCCAGTGCTCCTTGTCAGGAACAAAAACTGTACTGGTTCTCTTAAATCCTGGACTGCTCTACCTTGGCACAGATCTTCCAGTGGAGGCTGAGAATTGTGATCTCTGAAACTGTAACACACTCTCTGGCCCCCCCTTCTTAAAAAAGCAGAACCACTGCCTTGAACAGCTACCTCAGTGACCTCACCCCCGTTTATGGCCAAGACACCTCTCATGCCCAGACCCTTCTTCCTCTATTGAAGGCACATCAATTGAATTACAAAATCCTCAAAACATTTTTTCCCACTACCTGACTAAACCTCGGTCAGAAGCACTGGTTTTTATAATATCAATATTTTTGAAATCAAGTAACATGCTTCAGCTCCATCCGTCTTATTTAAATTGCTAAATATTACTAAAATGCCATCTGCTGTATTTTCACTTTGTAGTGTAGTGTACCGTTATCATAGTATCCTTACCTGGTATAAAAGGTCTATGGTATTCTAATGAGATTCAAGTTTTGATGTCACAGACTGTGTGGCAGCTGTATTGAGTTTAATTAAAACAGCACTGCTAGCAGGCAGTTAATTTACATTCAAGAAGACAGGAAACATGTCAGTCACAAAAGGTCAGGACTTCAATATTAGCTTTTTTTTTCAAAGAGCAAAAGTGATTTCAATCTAGCCTTCCGATTCCTTCTGTTGATGACACTTGGTCATTTTAGTGCTTCCAGTCCATGTCTTCTCCGTTGACAGGACACTATTCCACGAAAGATCACTTGGGAATTGACAAGCAGTTCAAGCTAGTTTTAAATCAATTTAAATTCTCTTTTCCATTTGTTACGGCTCTTGCAAGGCCTCCTCCTGAAGGTGCCTGTGTGGGCGTGTCCTTCAATCTCTTCTGCCTGAGGTACCGCCTTTTTCTTTGACACAGCTGACTCACATCAGTAATTAAAGGGATTTAAGCCCAGGGACAGGTGAGCTGTTTAATCAAATTATTCAGTGAGCCTGAATTCTCTTTGGATGGCATCTTGGAAGACATAGTTTCATCATAGGAAAAAGGTGATGACTCTGAAGAACTTTGTATTGATCTATGGTGACCCTTTGCTCTTAAGGGACAAGTGGAACTAAAATATCTCAGCAAAATGCAACCACAGTACAACAGAGACAGATCTCCTTGGTGTAAGGGTTAAGGTTTTTTCCTTTAATTTATCATCCATCCATTTTGGCTTATACTGCTCCTTGAAGCAAACCATAGTGACCAGGGTTTCCTTCCTGTGTTATGTATGTAGGCATATTATGACAGGTCCATTCATAATTAATACAGTTACAACTCACTTCATTGTCTGAGTTTCCAAGTTTCTGCTTTATTACACATGTCATTTGGGTTAATTGGTCAAGGCTTGATAAATATTAGTTTAACAAATGATTTTTCTTCACCTGACAATTAACTCAACTTTGCCAGTGGCAAGCTCATTAATATTGAACATATGAGGTTTTTAAAAAAATAGTTATTTTTGCTAGCTTAGTAATGGATTGTGAGGCAGTCCTCATTTATCCTTTTTCAACAGCAATATCTTTTACAATAACTAATTAAGAGCAAAATTATTTACATACCAGTAACTAACTGCTTCTATGCACCATCTTTGTGTACCCTTTCCCGCCCAGGCTTCTAGACTTCTGATTGGCCAACATTTCTACCCAGTTAGGATTACATCGCCACCTGTTGCTTTGGCATGTTCTTGACAGCGTTTGACTTTGTTTTTTGCGATTACGTGTGGACGAGATTTTCTTTTTAACAAAACGGAAAATCTGTTTACAAACATACCCGCGTACGTGTGGTCACAGCCTAATTGCCAGTTTTAGGTCAAACTCTGCTTACACTGTTTCACAACTCTCCCTCCCATACAGTTTCTAATGGCAGACATCAGGTTAGCAAAAGTCCAAGGCATCACAAAGGGCCTTCACTAACCAATGGGTGATGCCACTGTGGCTGCATCCATCTTTTATACTTCGTATGGAGGTGATAAAAGTTGTTCCCTTTGAATTTAATATTTTTGCTTCCTCCTCTCTACCTCTATGTCGCGAGTAAAAGCCACCAAGTAACCGCTAAGGGCCTCTATACTACTCTTACAAACTTTCAGGCCCAAAGCTCTTACAGGAATAAGCCCAGAATAAACGGAACAAGAGGGTCAATATCAGTCAGATAGGTTAAAATTTATTATTTTAAAGGAAAACAAAGGGCTTGCAAAAGGCCTCAAACATCAAAATGGAAAAGGTCACTAACGACCACAATATAGTCTTATTGATCCAACCTGTCAGCAATGCAACTATCACCTGAGGGCTTGCTCTCCCTCGGCGGTCCCAGATGCTCGTTGCTTTAAGAGAAACAAATCCACCCCAAATAAATACGAGCCCAACAGAACACATATCGCATGCACTAAGTGTTCAAGTTCAGGCAATAATTGGTGGCACTAAAAATCACTCTTAAAACTTATTCACCGCAAATCCTCACGGAGCACCTCTAAAAGACCTAATTCCCGTAACGTAAGTGCCCAGCTCAGGGATTGCACATTGTCTGACTAATATTGCACCAGCCCGTTGGAAATAAAAACAAACCCAGCATAAAAAAAACAAACAGTTTTAACTACTCTAAAACCAACTTGGGAGAAAATCGCAACAAAAAAGAGAAAAAACAGTGACAAATTCACGTGTGCAGCCTGTCCTGTAGGAGGCAATACAATATAAATTAGATTGTAGTGCATAAATATACTTTTTTATAATGTCAAATATATTATGTTAACATACCTCTAGCAGACAACTGTGTTTGCTGCACGCATGGCTTGTCTTCTAAAAATCACTACTAGAAACATAAAATACAATAACCATCAAATACATTTCAACAAATTTACAAAAGCACTAAAAGAAAAACAGCCTGTACCTCAAACCTCTGCTGTAGAGGTTTAAAACAACCGTTTGTGTAGAAGACAAAACTTCTCAGGCGCTTCACCTACTCACACAACCATTGTTCACAGCCAAATGAGAGAAGAAGAGCACCTGCTGCTACTTCCTCTTTTATACCCTCCCTTGGGTCCCCTGGGTCCTAAAGCCTTCCCTATTACATCTATGCACACTGCCAGATTTTGGGGAGCCTGTTAACATTTTGACAATCCTTTAATCTCTATAATGTAACAGAAATCCATAACTTTGATCTTCCCTCTAGCCCTATTCTCTTATTAAGAGATTTTGAACTGACCTGAATACAGAAAATAATTCAATTTAAAGAGTACAAAACGAAAGGCAGACTTCACCATTTCTGAGTAGTCAGTGGCTTGAAAGACTAAAAAAACTAAAACAAACTGGACACGCTGAACACATTGGACATTATGATGGGGTATCACAAAGGATGTCATGTAGTTTGACCACAAACTGCAACACAAATATTTTCTGATTACTCAAACAGGGATCCGCACCAGCTGTTGAATTAAAGGATTATGGGAGCATAAACAGACAGTCCAGAACATGCTGTTGTGAATCACGTACACAAAAAAGCACAAAGATGCTCTCTGTACTTTTATACCGGTTTGAGATCAAAACTTCATGGTGTGAAGTTCCCTGTAAAGTTGGCTGAATGTGGTAATTCTACTAATAATGACCTATTTTGAATTTTACAACAATCATTCTATATAGAGTAGAAAAGGGAAAGGATAACGTTCTCCTGAATATGTATGTGAAACATCTTTCTTATCGTTAGGGAGCGGTTTTAATATGAGTCGAGAGAGGAGACCTTAAAACTACTTTTAAATTTGGTGTTGAAAAATTGGCTACTCCACTGTAATGACTGCTTAAACAAGAGGACAAGATAAACAAAAAAGCTTTCTATGATTATGGGCTAAACAAAGAGGGAGGGAGAAAGCAAATATAGTGTATAATGGATGGTCGGATGCCTGTGAGCTCTTTGGATGAAGCATTTAAAAAGAAGAAATTCAGTGCGTGCTCTCTCTTCATGTGAGACAGAGTAAATAAGATAAATCCCTCAGCTGCTCTTTTCTGGATAAAAGCAGAATATTAAAAACTAAAACACGCAGCTAAAAGTGTCTGATGGCATTATGAGGAAACTTGGTGGTGGAATGAGGAAGTACAGGGAAGCATTCAACGGAAGAGGGTGGCAAACAGGAGCACTGGGAGACAGTGATAGTTTTAACATTCAGTTCAACTCAGTTCAGTTTTATTTATACACATAAATAAATTCACAGCAACAGTTGCCTCAAGGCACTTTATATAGTAAAGTAGACCCTACAATAATACATACACAGAGAAACCCAGTAATCATATGACACCCCTATGAGCAAGCACTTTGGCAAAAGCGTGAAGGAAAAACTCCCGCAGAACCAGGTTCGGGGAGGGGCGGCCATTTGTCATGAAGGCTTGAGGTGAGGGGAGGAAGACGGGACAAAAGACATGCTGTGGAAGAGAGACAGGGATTAATAACAAGTGTAATTCAATGCAGCGAGGTCTATAAACATATAGTGACGAGAAAGGTGACTGAAGAAGAACTACTCAATGCAGCATCCATTCAGGGCGACCTGATGCAGCCCTATATGTTTTAGCAAAAAGGAAAGTTTTAAGCCTAATCTTAAAAGTAGCGATAGCGTCTGTCTCCCGAATCCAAACTGGAAGCTGGTTCCACAGAAGAGGGGCCTGAAAACTGAAGGCTCTCCCTCCCATTCTACTTTCAAATACTCTAGGAACAATAAGTAGGCCTGCAGTGCAAGAGCGAAGTGCTCTAATAGGGTGATATGGTACTACAAGGCCATTAAGACAAGATGGGGCCTGATTATTTAAGACCTTGTATGTGAGGAGCAGGTTTTTGAATTCAATTCTGGATTTAACAGGAAGCCAATGAAGGGAAGCCAAAACAGGAGAAAT